AGGCAGACCACAGAAATGTTCTGTAAACCTCTCTGAAATAGCATCAGAGTGGAAGGGTGAAAACGCCGCCTTCCCAAGCTGCCTAAGGAACGAAAGCCTTGGGTGGTTTGGGGAACTGAAGAATAATTCATGCTGTTGGCTTATCTTTTTTTTGAACTGTTTTCAGTATTGTGGCTCCTTTGCTTCCTGATAAAATGAATTGGTTGGTCTTTTGTTAAGCCTGATCTGGGAGCTAAGCACTCTGAAGCAGCGTAAACTGATGTAAATCTGCCGTGCAACCAGCCTCTCCCTTGATCCAACAGTGCTGTAGCATCCTCTTGAAAAGTACCAAACACATCAGCCAAAATCTACCGAGGATCCCTATCAGAGTTTTCTCCCAATTTAAGTCCCTGGATGGTCCCCTCCCAGTTGCAGAAGGGGTGGTGGTGGCGAGGGAAACAGAACAGAAGCAAGAACCTGGATTTAGGCCATCTGGATCCACATCAGCCTGGATTTAGGCTGGGTTTGGTTAAGGCTGCACCCTTTGTGTGAGCTGAGACCCACAGACCTCTTGCTCTCTGTGGGAACGGTGACCGAAACAAGAGGAGCGGCCAGACCCCGAGTGCCCTTTTAATCGTGGGATGAAGGGTGTGTAGGGTTTTGATGTGAGATGAGGTCAGCCTCTTTGGTAGGCAGTATCTGGCCCTTGACCCAGGAAAACCAGCATTCAGGACACTGCTGAAGTATGTATTCAATTCAGATGAGAAAAAAGGACTACAATTTTTTTCACCCAAAGCTTTAATTTATCTGAGGCAATACCCAGGGTAAGGTGATAGACATACAAAACCAAGAAAGAAGACTGCTGCAAAGAATGGAAATAAATACCTGACATGGAAGCGTTTCAGGAAGTGTAGTTTTATATGCTGCTGTTCCAGTAACTTTAAAAAATAGCATGCATTCAGAAACTCAGTGTGTTATGGCAATTTTCTTCAGTGCTAAAAACCAAGAGGACAAATGGCTATCATTGGGTGAGAGAGGGGCAGCACGTTGCTCTTACAGGTTGCTCTAAAGGATCCCAAGGGCCCAGATTTCTTCCACCCTAGTTTTGGCATCTTCCCCTGCTGCTGTGCCTGGTGAGCTAAAGACTTACTTCCCATTGGTCTGATTGGACTATGCTAATTTCTTGTTTTTCCTTGATCTCCTCTTCCTAGCTCAAGTAAGTCAAGTAAAGGAGCTATTTGGATCGATGAGGCTTGGAGCAACCTGGTCTGGTGGAAGGTGTCCTTGCCCATGGCAGGGAGTTGGAACGAGATGAGCTTTAAGGCCCCGTCCAACCATCCCGTTCTGTTATTTTTGTGATTGGTATTTTTCACTGCCGTGGGTCATGAAAGCGCTGAGGGTTTGTGTTCTCTGCTAGGGAGGCTGGAGGCAGAGCGGTGTGGCCAGATAGGACAGCGTGGCTTGTTCTCAGAGTGTATGGTTACAGCCTGGGGTTTGTTTTAAAATATTAATCTCGCTTCAGATTGGAAAACCTGTTTGTTTGGGTTTTTTTTAAATCTAGTGTGGTGTCCTGTTAGTGCTATGAGACCTTTGTGATTGCCAACATAGGGCAGAAGAATGATCCTGGAAGCTTTCCGTGCAGATAATCTGCCTTAAAGTGTAAACTTGCTAAGTAGAGAGCTGCGATTTTTTGAACCAAAAGCCTTATCACTGTCTTTGTGAGAGTAACTAGTGCGTGAAAATGCTGTCATTTACAGGAAAACGTGATGTGGATACTGGATATACTTAAATCTGTTTTACTGGTACCCGTATGGCCTTCCCACAGTGCTGTCTCTGAGGCTGGCTTTCTGTGGCTTGCCGTGGTCTGGATGCCCGCAAGCTGCTGGGTAACAAGGCGACCTGTGCCAGACCCATCCCGCTCCCTCTGCTTTTGCGCAGGGTGTGAAGGCTTGTTTTCAAAGAGCAATGGCATGCAGCTCATCCAGGCTCTGAGGTGTGCACCTGGGCGTAGGACGTTTGTCTGTTTGCTGCTCGGTCCTGGGGTACTTGCTTTCATTTGGGAACCAGACCTCCGCCTGTATTTGTGTTTGCTTTGAGAACTAACGTAGTAGTGATGCCATCTCTAACCGTAAGAGCGGATCTGTGCGGGGCAGTCTCCCAGGAAGGAAGGTATTCTGGAATAGCCTAATAGTACAAGTCACCTGATGATACACATTAAAAACCTCTGAGTATCTGTTAATGCTGTCCTCTTTTAGGGTAGTGACACTAGAGAAGGCTGAAGCGTGCAGCATCTGTCATTCAATTTTTTTTTTTCATTGCCCTGTAGGGGAAAAAAAAAAGTGAGGGCTTTTTGTAAGTTGGTATGAGTCCTCAAAAGTCAACTAAGTTTTGTCTAGCAATTGTGCTCACATAAGCATGATTTCTTTCTAACAACAGGCCAAAGATGTTCTGCAACAGCAAAAGAATATTTCATGAGTAGCTTCAGTTAGAATTTGCAGGATTGAAAAGAGGAAACTGGGTCAAATGCACATGGTGTAAGCATCTAACTTCCATAATGCTAAACTCATGTATGTTGTATTTTGGAGCTGAAGAGGCAGGTTTTTGGGGATGGGTTTTTTGTGTGGTTTGTTTTGGTTTTTTTTTTTTAATTTGACCAACTTATGGAAAAATTATTTTTCCCCTTGGAATTTTGTGGGCCAAATCCCAGGAGACTTGTGGAGTTTCCCAGTATGTGCAACCACTTCAGGAGATGCTTTTCCAGCAAACCCTGCGCCTTTCTGCATAAAGACTACACTGCTGCTTTCGCAAGTGCATCGCTGGGTTTCAAGAATCAGGGAGCAAGGGCAGTAAGTGCTGTATCCTCCAGAGCTGAAGTTGAGGCAAGTTCTCAATGGATGCGGCTCTTGCAGTAAAGCTTTTGAGGGCCTGCCGGAGCGTAAACCTGCAAATACAAAAACAAATGGGCCCTGGAAGGGATTATGTATATTTGGAAGGGTCAAGGGGGCCACTGGGGCCGGTGCCTGCCCACAGCACCGCTGACCCCGGCCCCACGTGCCCCTTCCCAGGGACTCCCATGCTTGTGGCAGCGATGTGCTCCATAGCTTCATGTTTGGGGTGCCGGGGGCTTGTTAGGAAGTGCATGTGATTTGTGCTCCCCCATGACATCAGAGCTGTTTGGAGGGCAGAGATGATCCCTCACAGTGATGATTGCTGGTGGTGGTGGGACGGTAGGGTGCATGCAGGTGTTTTCCATGGAGCGTTGCAGCACAGCTCTGATAGGGTTTCCTGAAGATAAACATATGTTGAGCATATATACTTGTCCGCTATGACAGTGTGCTGCTGACGGACCTACGGAGTGCTGGTGTTTGAGGTATATGGTGTTTTCCAATATTGTTACTAGCCATAATTGCTAAAGCCACTGCCAGTGCTCAGATAAATGAAGAAATAACCTGAAGTTCAGACTTCAGGAAAGTAGGAAGGTTTCTTACTCCACTCTTCCTTTCTGAAGATCAGTTGCACAGAGATGGAGAATGTCGTGACGACATCATGCTGGTATTGCGGTGGTCTTATAAAAAGAATTAAATAAACACGAGAGAAAGGATCCTAATGACCGTGTTTTTCCAAATCTCTCCTACACCTCTAGGTATGTTAGTGGCTCCCTTGCTTAACTTAAGTTGGGTTTTAATTGTTCTGCCTCTCACTTTGGCATTGTGTGCAGTGATACTAGGCTTCATTTTGGTTCAAGAGATGATGAAACACAAGATATAAAAAAACCCCAATGTATTATAAACCTCTTTGGAACTCTACGTAGTCAATATGACTATTCTCAATGTTTTCACCTACACATTTTTACTCTCAGGTCACTGTTGTCCTTAATGGTTAGTATCTTTTGTCTTCATATTTTCAACCATGTGGACGTTTTTAGACTTTGGTGTATAAAATATGTAAATGGCTAAGCTATAACAAGGCTCGTAATGGTCTTTGTGGCTTTTAAAAATGTGTATGGCAGTAAAAAGTGTGTAAGTGTAATTCCTTGCTTAGCATTATTGTGGTAAAAGGCATTTCTAAGTTTAATATTGTTGGGGTTTTTTTGCTATACAGAGAACCACCAGTGCAAGGTGGACTGCCTGGTGTTTTTGCCAGTGCCGAGCAGTCAGTGCGACAGGAGCCTGGGGAGAGCAACCAGGCGACGGACTGCCACCAGTCCTGGTTGGTGTCTCTGTCCTGACCTAGTTCTCTCTGCAGCTGCCTTTGGAACCCATCGTCTGTCCTGTAGTTTTGTCCCATGCTGAGTTTTAGGTATTTTAAGGCAACGGAGAAATACAGTGACTGGACCTACGTGATTGTTACCCTCCCTTTGTGCTGGCTCCAGCTACAAGCTGACATTGTGTTACGTTAAAGGAGCCTGAACTAACCATTAGGATTTGTCTTCTTCCCCTTATTCCTCCTCCTCCCTCCAGAATACCTCCAGTGAGTAATAACATGCAAATACAAAGCATAAAGCCAAAGAAGCGGATTTCTTTTTGGTTCGCTTAGACTTTTATCCTATTAATTCCATGGCAGAGGTTTTCTTTTTAATGCTGCACTCCATCACATAGTATGTTTTATCTGGAGTGAATACCAGTGTCTACATTGGATGCTAAAGCATCACTTTGAAAAAAGGCAATAACGTTAATGACAAAGAGCAAAGTCCCAAGGACAAGTAGATACTGTTTCTGGGGTTCTTTAACTAGAACTGGATTGCTTTAGCTACAGCTTTTGTGGCTGACTGGCTTCCATCTCTGCTTTTTATTGTAACATTGTGGGTTTTTACAGCAGTTAAATGAAGTTACTCATGAAGTTACTTCAAACAAGGTTTTGCCCAATGAAGATCAAGTTTGGTTTCTGTTATTGAAATGTTGAATACTGCCTCTTCACTAGGAATTATCATGGAAAGTTTATTCTGGCTTTATTTGGAATTAAATTAATGTGGTTTTGTTTATTTGTTTTTTTTAATCATCTTCTTTTTTCTCACTGTTCAGCTGTGAGGTCTGGCTGGTTGCCCCCTCCACCACCTGCACTGCCCCCTCGACCTTCTGTATCTCAGGTATGAACAAAGCTTTAGCACTTTACTGTGTATTATTTGCCTATTTATGTTACTGTTGCAGTGGTTAGCACAAGTTGGCCTGGACAGGGCAGTTGTTCTTGCTTCCAAGTTAATGCAAATCTGCAGTTTGCTCCGCAGTTCCCTACATGTGCTTCTTCATTAGTCTGTTGCACTCTCAAATTACAGACTCATAAAATCTCTTTGTAGTGGAGCTGACGTGCACCCACTAGACAAAACTGTAAATTAAAGGCTAGTAAGGCTAGTCTACTAATAAGAGTTTCATGCCTGAAAGGCATGAGCTTGATACCTGCTATTTGCTTCTCAAGCTTCAAATGCTCAGAGGGCACCTGCTAAGGGAGCCATAGCATGTAAGAGTGTATTTCACCCATGGATTTAAAAGATAATGCTGGAAGGAAGCAAATGCCATGTCAGTTATGTTGTTAAGTTTCAAACCATTAGTGGTATATTTTTGTTTTACTTTTTGGATGAGTTTTTGTTTGTTTTTAGAGCATCACGCAACCACAGCACAATACAAATTGACTAAATCATGTGTATCTGCATCCAGATACTTCTTCATGTTTTAGGAAATGGTGGAGGATCAGCATCTTGTTCTTTTGTTGGCTCTGTTAAGTCTTTGGCAGCAGTATACTTCACGTATTACTCCTTTAGGTGAAGTGTGTCATAGAAAACAAGTCCACAGGGAAGCTAACAGCCCATTACGTATGAAAAACTGGGTGAGACACCTTCCTTGGGCCAGGAACAGTCCTCACTTGAGTTTTGGACCTGCTCTTAAGAGTCTGCTGTTGAACACCTCCTGCTGCACAGTGCTTAAGACAGAAATGATAAAAGGCTTGTTGCCACCCACAGCTCCACCAGCAGCTTGTTGCTCTCCTCCTCTCCCCAGCCCTTTTTAGCATCTGAGTGCAGCTAGCTTCTACCTTGAGGACTGTAGAGCATTCTGGTTTGAGCTTGCATGCTTCCCCCCCCAGTCAGTATTGGCCTTAGCCACACCGCTAACACCACGTGCTCCTTAGTGCACCCATCGCAATCTAAGCTGCATCCCACGCCGACCCTCCTCCTGCTGCTTGGACTTACCATGGCGTGCCGGCTCCGTGCACTGCTGCCATCAGAAAAAGCAGTAAATACAACAAATCCTGTTCATAGGGGGGAAAAAAAAGCAACTCATTGTTTTCAAGCAAGGTTCTGCTAATTATTCATTTTCTTGTCCTGTGAAAGAGTTGCATTTCCTTAGCAGGGCAGTGAGGAGAGATGTTAATTTATTTGTGTTATGTCCAGCAGCTTCCTTACCAAGTCACAAATACTGAACCGACTGCTCATCCTACACTGGGCCATGCAGAATATAGGACCTTTCTAAAACAATAAACACAAGAAGATTCTCATGTGAAATTCTTGATCCAGTCCTCTCCAATACAAAAGTCTGGTTTCTGAAAGAAAAAGTGACTTCTGTGTCTACTCAGTCATGAATATATAGCTGATGCTTTGCTTACACACATCACTTACATTTACTTAATTTCTTTCTGATGATTTTTAAAGATTTTTAATCAAATGCATCATCAAAATATTCTTGTTCTGACATCTAGCAAAAGTCTACGTAAAACCGGTTCTCGAAAACATAATAAACTTCACGCTTGTCACGTTGTTTATTTTATCTCCAAGCGTGCCTTTCTGTGATAAAGGTAACAAGACAGTAGGGAAGTGTGTGTGATGGGGTCATAATTCAGCTGTGGTGACCCTTGTGAGTAGCACGTAAGCAACAGTAGGCATATGGATTACATTACTCCAGCGGGGCCCTTGATTTAAAGAGCATGAAGAAGTTGGAGGGGAGGGATCTGCTTTCAACACTGCAGCAGGATCAAGTACTGAAGAAAAGCTATAATGCTGAAATGACACATTCAGCTTTTTCCTCTTTCAGGATTTACCAAACTCATCTTAAATTTCTGTTTTAACTTATTTTTCAACAGTGTTATTGAAAATCCCGTTTTTATTACCGTGACATTTTGCTATATGCCCACAGTTAAGCACTGTGAACGACAAATGTAGCTTGGAAATGAAGCGAACCCCCCATATTTCAGGTGGCTGTACACCATATAAGTATGCTCATGGTGTGGTTATTTTGGCTCAGCTTTGGAAATCAGTTGATGGAGGAGGAGAGGGAAATAATTTCTTCTGAGGACTGAGTTTTCTGTGGATGGCTGAGAAGCAGGCTGAACCAGTTGGCTCTTTAGAGTGAGATTAAAGGGCTCATGGGATGTAAAGGCCAAAGTGCATAAAAGAGAGGTACCAAGGGGTAGGTATTACATTTCAGTGGAGCAGAAGTCCTTCTGTGAGCTTAATAAATAGCAATATAGAAATGGCGTCTTGACTTTGGTCCTGGGTTGCTGTTGTTTTTAGTAGAATTTGCCTCAACCTTTAGGAAAACATTATTTTTCCTGTCAGAACCTCCAAGGTAATCAAGCTCGGTAGGTTATTGAAACACTGGTTATTCAGAGTGTGCCAAACTCTAGTCATATCACAAACTTAGTAAATGATGTCCACATCCAACTCTACCTCCATAGTACAGTCAGCTGAATAACGAGGGAGAAGGTAAAACTTAGAGCTAATACTGCTGCGGCCTTGACTCCAGAGCTCAGAGGATGTACAGGCTTACTGTGGGAGGCTCGAGTCTTGGGATCCTGCGAGGACTTGGCTGGTTTATGGGGAATTAGGAGTGGGGCTGGCTCCTCTGCTCTGGGTTGCTGCTGCCAGCCCATGCTGTTCCACACCTCTGGTGGGAACACATCTTTACGGGTGCAGCTGCATCTCTTCCTACCTCTACGACGAGTTTTAGAGTTGGTGGATTAACTCTGCGTTTCTTTCTTCTCGATGACCTCTAAAAGGCTGTGGTAGCTCCATCTCCTCGGCATTTTTCTCCATTGCCAAAGTCAGCGTTGTATCAACTTTGGATCAGTTCCCACAAACTACCCAAGTTTTCCTCAGAGCTTTCACCAGACATTGCTCTGATGTAGTGGTGTTTTCATCTGAGGTCCCTGTGGTGACTGTAAATAAATTTAATAAAGATGGACAAAAGGCAAGTTTATATAATATGGATACACTATTATCTCCAATTTGTGATCTTTTAATCCAAGCTTCAGCCTGTATCTCTCTTCACTGCAAGCCATTTTGAATTGATGTTTCCAGTAAGATGTGAAATGCAGTATGCAATGCTTTATTAGAATTGTCAATTCACGTTGCTTACTGTCCTGGTTTTGGCTGGGATAGAGTTAATTTTCTTCCCAGTAGTTGGTACAGTGCTGTGTTTTTGGATGTAGTATGAGAACAATGTTGATGACACACTGATGGTTTAGTTCTTGCTGAGCAGTGCTTACCCTCAGCCAAGGACTTTTCGGTTCCCCGTGCTCTGCCAGCGAGGAGGGGCACAAGGAGCTGGGAGGGAGCACGGCCAGGACAGCTGACCCCAACCAGCCAAAGGGATATTCCATACCATAGAACGGCATGGCCAGTATAGACACTGGGGGAGTTGGCCAAGAGGGGCTGATCACTGCTCGGGGATGGGCTGGGCATCGGTCAGCGGGTGGTGAGCAATGGTATTGTGCATCACTTGTCCTTCTGGGGTTTCCTGTTAAAGAAAGTAAGTAATTCAAGTTTTGCCTAAATTCTATAAAGGACACTTGGAAGGATTATATGTGGAAACAGGCTTATACAAAGACTAGAGTTTTGGTTTGGATAATATGTTATTTTGAAGTGTTTTCCTTTTTACTGCTGTGTATATGCCTGTGTGTAACTTCACTGACACCTTCTGTAATCCCTAGTAATGGATCTCACACTTAGCAAGTCTGCAGTAGGTGCTTGGATTTAAGGATAATTTTATCTGTATCAATTTCCCCATTTCTTCGGACCATAAATATTTAATACGCTGCAAGCTATTGTACAGACTTAGGACACTGGCAGTGCCCTACCTCTCTTGCTCACTTCCCATGACATGCTATAGTTACAGCTTTTCCACTCTTTTTCTTTGCTTGTTTTAATTTTGTTTTTTTTTTTTTTAACTTTTTAGGAGGTGTTTTTTGTCATCTCCAGCTTTGTCCCCCTCACCCCAAGTGACAGTATATAGAACAGATAAGCTGTAGCTTGTTGAAATACCTACTGTGTTTTTTTTTCTGGGCTTGTAGAGGACTGGATTCAATGGCTCAGGTATCTTCCTGATCCTGTGGTCCTAATTTAATGCTAAACGTAAGTCATCAAGGAGAAATGGCATAAAGGTGGCCCCAAAACTTTTGTGCAGACACAGGGCTGTACATAGGAAATGTGTGTAAGAAAGAATCAGTAAGAATCGCGGTAAGAAGGCAATAGCTATGTAGCTGATCTGCCCTGACACGGATTTCAGATAGGAAATGACTGTGGGTGCTCATGAATAACACTCCACTGGAACGAAACGTATATGCACATCTCTTATAAGCCTCTGTTTTTTTTTTTTTAATGGCAAACAAAATAATACTTTATTACTGTTGACTTTTAAGCCTACAGAAGTCATTTACCACAGCTGCTTACTGTGGGAGATTTAGTAACATGTTTATGTTAACGGGAATTACGGATGAACACTGAAGAGCAAATACAACTTCAGGATTTTATCCAACATCAGCTCACTATCTGCACCATTGCCCAATTGGATCAATGTTCTTTATTTAAATTACTCTGTTTCAGTACCTTCCTGTCCAGTAGTGAAGGCGTATTGTCCATGTATAAGGGGATCTGAAAACGGTAGGACTGGAAGAAAACCCTGTATATCTTGGCTGAAAAAACCCATGTTCCTAGTCTCTTTTTCCAGAGTCTAAATTTTAAGCCTGTTGATTTTGTAAATTCACACTGGTTTGTGCTGGACTTTTATTTCTGGAGACCTTGGGACCTGGTTTTCCCCTTGGTTCCATGCTGGCAGTTTTGACAGGCGCTGCAAAAATTATGGGTGAAGGCGCAGTGTTCGA